CAGACGATGTAATTCCATTCCTAAAAGTCTTCCGTAAAATGGATAGCCGTGGTGAACCAATTCGTGCAATCTTCGTGACGATTCTCATCTGCTGGTTAGGTATTCTCATCGCTGTAATTGAGAATATCACAGCTCTGATCACTCAGTAAGTTGAAATTTTATAGAAAACATTCTATAGTTAGGAAAAAAATTTCTTTTTAGGTTCTTCCTAATGTGCTATTTGGGTGTGAACACTGCATGTGCTCTACAATCATTGCTCAAATCGCCTGGATGGCGGCCATCGTTCAAATATTTTCACTGGTAGGGGTTTACCCTTCCCATAGTGAGATACCCATTACCGAAATCTATCGTTCCAGGACCCTGTCCTCACTCGGGGCATTCCTGTGCATTGCTGTAATGTTCATCTCAGCTTGGCACTTTGCCCTAATTGCAATCTTCATCGGTGCTGCTGTCTACAAATACATAGAATATGCTGGTGCCGAGAAAGAATGGGGAGATGGACTGCGAGGTTTGGGTCTCAGTGCAGCCAGGTTCGTCGAAAAAATATTTGGCAGGAATTTTTCTGACGGAATGGGTTTTTTTTCAGGTTTGCCTTGCTGAACTTGGACAATAGACCGCAGCATAGTAGAAATTGGAGACCTCAGCTACTTGTATTACTGGAGAATACGGATTCTCCTAATACACATGGTATTCTATCCTTCGTCAGTCAGTTGAAGGCTGGAAAGGTAAATTTTGTCATTATTGGAAACCTAATTTTTTTCCTGTTGAAAAACTTCGGTAGCACTAATCAAGTCGCTATCAAAACGGCAGCTTATATCATTCATTCATCGCTAAGAAACTCAGCTGCAAATTCACGCCCGATACCGTACTCTTCCGAGCGAATCAGCGTCAAAGTACAGTACTGGGCGAGACATAAGAATAGCAATTTCTGGGCCACGCACGCAACATATGATTTCTCTTGGACATTTTCAACGCTCAATCGAGGCTTTTGATTAATCTGCAGAAAAGTCCTATAACCAGAATGCCCATCCCACTACTTCAGCGTAAAATTGAGGGTTCTTGTGATTAATAAAGAAAAATTAGGGAAAAAAGTTCTGAGCCCCACT